GGAAGTGGCTTGAGCTTCTTAGTGCAGCACTTTAACCCGCTGGGCCATCAGGGAGGGCCGGTTTATGGGTTTTTTTAATCATCATTTCATTTCTGGCTTTCCAAATATTCTACTAGAAATTTTGTATTTATAACCAGAAAGAAAAGGAATTTCAATTGATAGTTTGCTATAAAGGACTTCTATTCTTTTTACAAATTATAGCAAACAGAATAAAGCACTTTCAATTCAATTAGATAGATTAATTCTTATTGAGGCGATTACAGGTTATTTAACTTGAAATGCAAAAAATGGAGCAAAATTAGTTGGGCATTCAAATTCCTCTAGAATTTATAAAATACAAGTCAAATACTAGCAGTATGTTTTTCTACAATACCCTTTTTTATCATCTATCTGGAGGCACAGCTGACATTTCCAACCAAAAAGTAAAAGGTGAACAAACTAGAGAAAACTATGAGGAAAAGATAATGTTGAAGAAAAGATCTATTGTTTGTATTCATATTATTACATGGATAAACAATAACTAGAGCAACACATTCAGCCTTTCTTGGCTCCCTCTCACTACTCTCCAAGGGAAAACAGGTTATATGATTGGTCTGTTTGGAAGTGTAACAGGGTGGCTCCCAAGAAAAGGGGAAATTCCAGGTTCCCAGAAGGAGGGAGCTGAGAAGAGAAAAAGCAGAAAAAAAGAAGGAATCTGAAGAGGAAAAAGGAAGCAGGATGGAGAGCCAGAAGGAGACCTGAGGAAGCCACATGGAGCAACAAGCATGTGAAGAAAACGTGCTTATTTCCTGGCCCTGAACTGGTTGAAAGAGATGTGGGTGAGAGACCCGTGGGGAGGCCGACTATGTCAGTGTTTATATTGATTTTGATTTTGCTCTTTTCCTTCCAGACTTGTCTGGCCCTTGATTGACCCTTTTCAATGGGTCCCGGACAAAAGGTGCTTTAGTCTTGTGGCGGGCTTTCAGGCCTTGCTTTGGACCGATTCCTTTTTGGTTGACTTTTGCCCACAAGGGAATGGGTAACTTCAGGTGTTTGATTTAGAAGTTATATTCTCTGTCTTCTGTATTGTATACTCACTCTATTAAAGTTCCTTTTCATTAAAGTCTTACATGTTTTGTCTTGATGTGGTGGATGGCAGAACCTATTTAGAGCAGGCAGGTTTGGGGATTCTAGGGTGCCCCTCTCTCCCTGCCCTGTAACAGACTGAGGAACTGAACATGCTTAGTTTATTTTCTTTCCCTTAGACTGCACAGAACATGTGCTCCTGCCAGCCCTTAATCATTTAATAGGCTGAACAGTAGAGTCACCATCTGCACAGAAGGAAGTTTGTGGTTTTTCAGCAACACCAATAACCTAAGAAAGAACCTAATTAACTCTGACATTCAATTTACAAAGTTGATTGTTACTACACATTTAAGCCACTGTCACCATTATTATCTCTACTTACAAAAAATCTGACATTATGATTTCTATCTGCAGCTTCTTGGTTCTGAACTTGAGCAGAAGAATGTTTGCTAGTTTTTGCCCACCCACTGCCCCACCCGTCAAACATACACACTAATACAGTAGTGCAAAGGACATCTCAGTACTTCCTTACAGGACTGATTATACCACCTAAGAAATGGCCTGTCCAAATGAGCATTGCTTCAAAACAATTTTTTTTAATTATTTATGTTAAATAGAGGTCATTTCCTCATTCTTGTCTTACAACCATAATGCCATCATGGGTATATATCATAAACAAGACTCCAAATTCCTATATTTGTGGAATTAGTCAGTTAAAAGACATCATTCCCTAGAGTTAGTGACCTACCTTCAGTCCATCATCCACATCCTTTACATAACCCTTTTCATATAGTTCCTGGGGAACATTTAAAATACGTTTTGAAAAGTCATTTTCCTGCCAGTCTACACAAAGACCTGCAATAAACAACAGTGATTTAAAAGCAGCAACAAGAGCATTTCTTCCATCAATTTTCTGCTATACCTTCTTTAAAATGGTCATATTTATCCAATATTGAGGATAGGCAAGAGAAAAAAGGATGCCATAACACTCTGATCAGTCCTTGAATTAACAGCATTTAGATTCAGCTAGACCTGGTAACTTGGGTTCTTACACTAGAAACAGCCAAAACAGCTCATCAAGAGAAACTGATAAAAATGCAAGGGCATACAAGACCAAAAGAAAAAAAAGAAAAAAAAAAAGCCATGTCAGACTTCTCACAGCAACTCAAACAGGCAAAATACCTTCGATTTGTGTGTTGAGGCCTGCTCCAGGGCCAGAGGTTTGGGAAATAATTCAATCTTTATGAGCCCTTGGAAATGGAAATGGTGTTTTTATTGGCCTCAGCAGAGTCATGATTCCATGTTCCCGAATGCCCCTGTACTCAGCCACAAGGGGAAAGCTATAGACTCTCCATTCAAACAAGAACAGATTCCAGTCTTTATTTTAAACTGTTTGACCCTACAGGTCTGGAGAGGATATTGCAATACCCCTGGAGAATAGGAGTAACAAGAATTCAAATTTGTTCAGTCTCAAGACACTGGTCTCTTCCACTGAAAGAGGTTTTAGTGTATGTCTATTTCCTGTGCTTGAGTATTAAAAGCATGATGTTATCACCTATAATAATTCAAAAGGCACTCTTCAAAGGACTTGACAAAAATAAAACATTTTTAGAAAAAAATATATCTTTTCTGCATGCCTATATCTTTTTCTGCCATAGAAGTCTTAACAAAAATGAGAGATTGAAGAGTATTGAACAGGTAAAGCAAATCACCAATAGACTGTGAGCTAATATCAAGAAAACACTGGCAGGCAAACATTTCAGTTGGTGGATTTAGATTTTCCAGGCCACCTTCTAGGACGTATGCCTAAAACGTCCATCTCTGAGGAAGATTTTAGTCTACCCAGAATAGATCTGAATCCACAGAACCACATGAATTTTCCCAGAATTTTTCCAAATTAGGTACCAAGATCACATAAATCACAATGTATCATCTGTCTACCTGGTACAAGTTTGATATTCCTAAGGCATAATAAAAGCCACAGGTGTATCAATTACCTGAGAGATACAAAATCCTATTAATCAATTTGGTTTCTATTTCTTGTCAAGTGTCCCGATATATTTTAAATAAACCTAAGACCAAAGGCCTGAAATATTCTACTGAGGTTTTTTTTTTTTTTTTGCACTTTAAGAAACAAAAAAGAAGTACTTTCTTACCACTGCCACTCCAGGGAAGAGTTGGGATACCTGCAGTTTGAGCAACTATAGAAGAGGCAATCTTATCCCCTAAAGCCCACATGGCCTGGCTTGGAGGACCTAAAAACAAAAGAAAAGAACTCTCACTGTAACATTTTGGCCTTCTTTCCATCACATACATTTTTTTCATCTATATAATTATGTTTCCATTTGTCTTCCTCAAGGAAACTACTATGTTTTGATTTATCATTGTACTATTTGCAGAACCTAATGTAGTAAGATTTTTATACACAGTAACAGTTCAATATGTAAATATATGCTGAATTATTCCTGATCAATCTAATACCCTAAAACAAAGACTATAGAGTTTGGGAGTTCAAATGTGCTGTATTACACTCTCCTTAGTCTTAGAGGAATGCAAAAGGGAGTTCTGTTGTTAATAAGGTTTACAAAGCATTATCATCACTGTGGAAGATCTCTGAGACAGAGAAATATTTTAAGCCATATAACTTCAATTTCTCTCTCTGCCATAAGGAGTGCAGAAAAGGCAAAAGAAATAGCTTTCATTCATTCGAACATAGTCTATATTCTTAAATATGAAGGTGCTGAATCATATGTAAAGGCACACTGCCAGAGGATAACTTAAATATCTGGTTATTTTTACTGTGTAAAAGTAGGCTCTTTCTCCACCTGTTTTCTTAAGACTGGTGACAAAGTTTTAAGTATTCTGGAAATAAAGATTCCTCTATATTTCATGGAAAAGAACCAAGGAAAAGAAAACACAATCAAGATGCAAAGAGATAAGGAGGATATAAGAAATGAAGGAATTTATAAGAAAAGACTAGCTCTACGAGTTGCTAATTAAAAAAAAGGGGGGGAGGGTCCTCCCTGGTGGCGCAGTGGATTAAAGCACAGCACTAAGAAGCTAAAAACACTTCAGCTGAGTTTGACCTACATGGCTCCGCAGACCTCTCCTGTCTCCCCACAACTCCCCTCAGCAGTGTACTTCGTTAGTCAGCCTGTTCTGCTCCCCACTCTGTCTCTGGTGAATCCTCTTGCCGCCCCTGTATCTCTGGCCTGTACCCCAGTTCTGTATACCTAAATAAGTAAATCTTTAAATAATTAAAAAAAAAGCTCAGCACTTGTTAAAAGAAAAGCAGAATGCAGAGTGTAATATGGGCAACATCAGCAGAGAACAACAAAAAGACAGGAGCTCTTATGCCAAAAAGACTTACCCATGAAGGCAATGCCATTTTTCAAAAGAAGTTCTGGAAGCTTGGGATTCTCAGAGGCATGACCCCATCCAGCCCACACTGCCTGCAAGGGAATACAGTATGAGTCATTCTTAAAATTCATACTAAAAACAACCTGATGAACTGTATTACTCTCTGCCAAGACTGACCCTACTCCATGAGGCACAATGGCTTCACAGAAGCCTTATGTTTAATTCCATTTCAGTATTTGATTCTGGCAAACATTTTATAGAATAGCAGTAAGCAGTCCATTTTGACAAAACTTGTCCATTCTGATATCCAAAGAGGTCGAAACTGGTATTAAGATTCAACTAGTCTTGTGCTTTAGAAAACCCAATTCATGGCCTTTCAAATAGTCTCTATAGAACCTTCTCTAGAAATATAGGTTGCCTTTCACAGGTTCAACGTCTTTGACTTTCTTCCAATCCCACTTTTATATCTAATGGTTATACTAACATACTAATCTCATTTTTGTTTTTTCTCTTTGGATTATATGCTACTTATCCTAAACTTTCTAACACAATGAGACAGGAAAGAAACAACCAACTTCTATACCACCCAATTTTGGGCTAAAAATATTCCACAGGAAATAAGCATTGTTTATTTACTTGGAAAGCTTTGAAGGTGAAATTAATAAAATAAATAATGTCTAAGAGACCCTTGCAAACCTCTTGTATTACATTTTCTTTTGACTCATTTCTTCTGTCCATCTTTCTTTTCCCTATTAGTTCATATAAAGGCATTTATCATCAATTTTCAACAAAGATGCTTGATATAAAATTAAAAGTTCTTTCCTGGATATCTCTTTACGCCAAATGGTGAAATGGCAGAATTTTATTTTAAATAAAGCATTATCATCTCTTACTTGCACCGGGATCCTTTTAGCTATATCAAGAATTAATTCCACATTTGCATAGTTGTTGTTGTTTGGTCCTCCAGGAACAGGCACATAGTGATCTGCCATCTTAATGTATTCTAAAAATGCAAGCAAATTAATGGAGAATACATGCTTTATTTTCAGAATTATACCAGCAAAACAAAACTATGTAAAGATCAGGTACTATCACAAACTGAATTAAATGGAGGTAATTTCCAGGATCATTTACTTGGTGGCTCTGATTTTTGTCAAGTCCTAGGCACTAATTCTGCACTATCTCATATTTAAGAAGCTCTTATGCTAAAAGTTCTCAAACATTCCACTTTGTTAGACCCTTCTGAAGAGTCCTTGTGATTCCTATATAAAGGATGCTGTGCTTATCACTTTAGAGGCCCATGCATTCTATTCTGAGAAAAAGTTTTAATCTTGATACCCTTTGTCTTTAAACTTGCTCTGCACTTGTGAAAAGTCCTTTTCCTGACAGAAAGAGAGTAGTAGAGTGTGGAAGGTTTGTACACCTAAATGTTTAAAAAGGGTTTATCAGGAATGTTGGACATAGTACGTATTTAAGAGGCTTTTTTTGTTTGTTTGTTAAAGACTTATTTATTTATATATAACTAGGATACAGGTCAGAGGTGCAGTGGTGGTGAGAGGATTCACCCAAGACAGAGTAGGGAGCAGAACAGGCAGATTGACAAAATACACTGCTGAGGGGAGGAGCGGATGAGTCGGGGAGGTCTGCACCATGTGGGTCACCTAGGGGGCCAGTGATCAAACTCTCACTGAAGCAGCTGGGGGCCTTAAGAGGCTTTTAAAAGATTACTACATTCTTTTGGCCTTTTTTTTTTTCTACTTAGTATTGCGTTTCAAATTTGTTCCCAGATGTCTCTCTATTCCTATCTGGCAACTTGTAGCAGAACAGTTACAATGTATAAGGACTTTATTAAGAACTTTTTACCTATTATCCCATTTAATTCTCAACAGCCCTATTCCTGATAAGTATTACTAGCACCCAGGTTACAGGAAATTCCAGTTTTGGAGCAGTTAAATAACATGTCAAAGTCCATCTCCATCATTTTTTTTTAAAGATTTATTTGTGCATTCAGAACTGGGGTACAGGCCAGAGGTTCAGGGGCAAGAGGCTTCACCAGAGACAGAGTGGGGAGTAGAACAGGCAGACTGACGAAGTACACTGCTGAAGGGAGCAGCAGGCGGGTCAGGAGAGGTCTGCCATACCATGTGGTCACCTCCCGGGCAGGCGGAAATCGAACTCATGCTGAAGTGGCTCCAGCTTCTTGGTGCTGTGCTTTAACCCGCTGCGCCACCAGGGACGGCCTCCATCATATTTTTTAATATACCTTTTCTATCTTGTTCTTTATTTTAAAAGGTTTTTAAGTCCTAAATAGAATTCTACTCTTAGTTACAAGGTCCTACAATTTGTTCAAAACAAAAATATTTCTTGTTCTCTTTATAAGAGGGGAAACATGCTATTTTTTTAATTAGATAAATATATCAGGATGTAATAATGCTACTTTTTATAAGTCAATAACACCCACTGCTCTACCATTTGGAGACAGTTCATGCCTTATATACTATAAACCATAAATTGTGAACCAATTTAACAATATATTGTAGGTACCTTCCATACATTATGTCACAGAGATCTATTTAATATATATTTACTGTTGTGTGTGTGTGTGTGTGTATATATATATATATATATATATATATATATATATATATATATATGAAACCTATATACTCAATACGTAGTGTTTCTATAGTTCACAATTTATTTAACTTATTGCTGAATATATAGGTCATTAATAATAATTAAAAAAATCCTGATCTATAATTGCTTTGGTTTGCACTTCTTTTGATTACTTTTGGTAATGAATCTCTTTTCAGATGTTTATTGCCCTTTATAAGTCTTTTTGTGGACAGCCTATTCATGGCTGTTCATTTCCTACTAAAGAATATCTCTCTCCTGTTATAGGTAGAAATTCTTAGTTAGTATGTTTTTATAAATTAGCATTTGTCGTTAACATTTTTTAATTTTCTAAATATTTTCATTTTTATGTAATCAAATCCAAATTTCTTTGTAGTTTTGCCTTTTTTTCTGGCTCTGTGCCCCTAGATACAGAACCTACTTTTGCTTCTCCTCTCTCCCTCTTCCTCTCTCTCTCATACACACAGAGTCTGCGAAGGTGTTGCCACCACTAACCAGCCACAGTTCATTCTACCAATAAATCTTCTATCATCATTAGGTAGATACTGAAGAAAGGAGAGATGTCCTGGCAGGTAGAAATTACGTAACTTGCATTTCTCCATTATCTACTAGTTCCCACAGCCCATAATTACCACCAGACTCACTAATTCATAGTGTATTCATAACTAAATTTAAAAACTCCCCTCAGAAAAGAACACTCAGTTCTTTACATGGATTTCACTAATCATCCACCTCTCCAACTTTCCCATTAACTATTATGAAAAAAAATCTCCAACTGGTCAACTTACAATAAACAATTAATATTATTATTCCTACTGTTATTCTCAGCTCCTTTTAACCTTAATTTTGCCTGTTTCCCTCAAGTCTCAGAGGATGAAGCTTCACTTGCAAGTTAAATTTCCTATCTAGAGCTCCTCTTTCATAATTTTTTAAAATGTAAAAATAATTTGTGTTTTCAACTGGACTGCAGTGAGAGTTGCACAATGGTATACATTTACTAAAACTTGAAACTTAAGTTTTAAAGAGTGGCCTTTATAGCACATAAATTATACTCAACAAAGCTATTAAAAATAACAGAATAGAGGGCCCTCCCTGGTGGCACAAAGGGTTAGGACGCAGAACTACAAACTAGCCACAGCTAATTCAGTGCGAGTTCAATCCCCGGCCCCAAGGGGTAACTCACATGGCTCAGCAGACCTCTCCTGACCCGCCTTCTGCTCCCCTCAGCAGCATACCTTGTAGACTTGCCTGTTCTCCCCACTCTATACCTGGTGAAGTCTCTCACAGTCCCTGCACTTCTGGCTTGACCCCAGTTCTGTATGCATAAATAAATCTTTAAAAAAAAATCATAAAAAAAATAAGAGAATAGAAAGGCTAGAAAAAAAATGAAAAAAGAAAAATTATCAGTAACACTAATTCCTTAATTCAATATCATAAGTATTGTAACACTTTCTAGCATTCTAATTTTTAAATAACTTTTAAATAAATTGTAATAATTGTATAAACTGTTTTAAAAGGAAGCAGAAACACAAATAGAACTGAAAACCCCATCCCCAGAGATAACTAGTATTGCTGTCTTGATTTATGTTGCAACACCTTTATTTCCCCTGACTATCCACTTCTTTTCTATTACTATATCATGCTATCAATCTCCTTTTAGCCAAATTTTTTCTTTACAGTTTGACAGACACTACTCTGTCTATTCTCATGATTCCAGTCTTCAGCCATTCATATCTTAAGTACTTCTCAGTGTTGGGTATGGGCAAGATCTATGACTTGCTTCAAGCCAAGAGAATACTCCAAAGATGTGGCAATGTCACTTCCACAATAACATTCCAGAAAGACTTAACTGGTCATGCTAGGAGTCTCTCACTTGAGGTAGCAGCTGGTCATTATTTGAATGGCCCCTATGACAATTTGCTGACAGTAGTTTCTAGCCAGCAATCAGCTAAACCTTCAGGCCCTCATTCTGACAGCCCACAAAAAACTGAACATTGCCAACAGTCACGTGGGCTTGAAAGCAGATGCATTCCAAGTCAGAGGAGACTGCAGCTAAGATGACAACTGACAGCAGCCTTGTGATGGCCTAAAGTAAAAGCCTCAGCAAAGCTGTGCCCTGACTACAGAAACTGTGAGATAAATGGCCTGTGTTTTAAGTTGCTAAGTGTATGGGAATATTGTTACATGATAATAGATAATTAATTCCCAAGTAAAAAGAAAATGAAAAAGAAAAAATAACACCCGCAAATCAGAATATATTCTCATACTAATAACAGAGACAGAGTGGAGAGCATTACAGGCAGAACTGACAAAGAACACTGCTGAGGGGAGCAGCGGGCAGGTCAGAAGAGGTCTGCCGCACCAAGCAGATCACCTCTGGGGTGGGGATCGAACTCATGCTGAAGTGGCTTTAGCTTTTTAGTGCTGTACTTTAACCCGCTGCGCCACCAGGGAGGGCCCTCCACATTTCTTTATAATGATTGCAAGTTACTTCATGAAATTAGCAAGGCACATTTTCCTTAACTAACCCACTAATGTTAGACACTTATGTTATTCCCAGTTTCTCACTATTTTAAATAATAATGAGTGAATACCCTTATCTGACTCTATTTACACCACATAGTGCATTTGTTCCTCAGGATGAATACTGCAAATTAGATTCTCCTGGTCAAATACAGGCATATTCTTGCCCACCTGTGCTCCTGACCCCATTCTGTTCCCTCTCCCCTAAGTCTCATGTATACATCTACTCTCCTGTCTCCTTTCTCTCAGATTGTACACATTCCCTTCCTTTCCAAGTCTCTCTCATTGTGAAAAAGTTTGTTGATTCTGAATTACTTTTATTGTCTTTTTTTTCTTCTCTTCTCATCCAAAATACCCAAGAACATACCCACATTGGCTATCTCCACATCACTTCCCATTCATTCCTTAACATCTGCATGCCCAGATTGTTCCCATCTAACTATTCTTGCAAAAGTTATCAATGATTTCCTCATTGCTAGGCAGGTTTCTGTTCCTGTGTTATTAAATCCCTGACACATTTGGCTCTTATTAAAATTCTTTTTTTTTTTTTCTTCCATCTCTCTAATCATCTCTTCTCACTTCTTGTTTATGGAATTGTTTTTCTCAGTCTACCCCTAAATGTTACTCTATACAAATTTCACCTGTGGTTCTCCTAATTTTCTCTGTTCTTTCAGGGGGTAATGTTAGCTACCACATATTTGCTGTTAATATACACTCATAATCTCCAGCTCTCATTATTTCTAAGTCCTATAAGAACATATTAAAAGCATTTATAAGATCTACTTGTACCATAAGTACCTGAGGCCTAATCTGCACACCCCCCAATAAAAAACCTTGCTCTTCCTATGTTATTTATTATTTTGCCTATCAGAAGTATTAGCATCTGCCTACTCAACTGAAAATTAACAATTTAATTTTTGTCACAATCACCAAATCTTGCCAATTTCTGCCCTGGAATACCCTTTTCTTCCCCCTAAATGCTCCATTAAAACTCTTATTCCTTCTTGTCGAAGCATAAGCCCTTTCAGAAAGCTTTCTCTTAACTCTATGTTCTCACAGAACCCTTCCATATGTTTACTAAAGAATTTACCTCATTGTATTGAAATTACTGTAAATGAGACATTTACTCAACTGTGGCTCCCCATGTTCACTGAGCGAATAAGCAAATAAATTAAGAGCAAGGGAAGGTCCTAGGGAAAGAAATCATGTAAGGTAGTTTACATTGTTATAGAAAAATCTCATCTTTACAATCATCCTTTAGCCTTCTGATCTTCCTTTCACAGATTAAAAATATATGGCTGAGATGTTAAAGGGTTAAGCTGAATGATTTTACAGAATCACATCTGTTTTCCAATGAATTGATGCCTTCTGTTCTTCTAAAAAGATGACATAATGACCCTTATTCCTTAGGAATAGTCTTAACACCATCATTTCAAAACAGATATATATAAATCAAAAAAGGTTTTAAAAGAAAGCTCTTTAAAGAATTAAGCCATGCTATCTGTACATTCTCTTTGGATCTTACACTTTAGTGATACAAAAAAGTACAAAAGAAAAAAGCTAGCCACACCTGCCAGCTATAATCAATAGATTTTATCTACAACCAGCAGATGGCCCAAATGAACATAGAGAATAAGCAGAAGACCTTAGAGAATGAAAATCACTGGGGTCGTAAAAGTCCTCTCCCTCAGAAGAAGGGAAAAAAAGAATCTCCACCTAAGTTTCTCTAAAATTCAGTGTCACTGGTAAGTAAAATAGCATGTCTTCCTAAATTTTCTACTAAAAACTTATTATTTACTATTTATGTGGTGTAGCAAATACTTAAATTAACACTGAAAAGGTGTACATCTGAAAATTCAAATTAACACTTAGGTTAAATTTCTACTTATCTGTACTTAGAACACAGAAGTATGTGTTGAGGTTAAATATAATACAATAACTTTTATATGCCTAATAGTATTTTTATTACAGAGAAATTCTTTTTAAAGGATTTCACAGGAAATTCTGGGGCTTGGGAAGCCCCCCAAAATCAATATCCTCCTACTTAATGGCTATGCTTTTCACCACTTACTGCTTGAGAGAGATGCTTAATAACTTACCTGCATTGGCTTTAAGATCTTCAGGTGTCACCATGACAACAAATCGGATTGCACGTTCATTTCGAAACATCTCATAAGACCACCGACGGATAGACCGCATGCATTTCACTGCTGCAATGCCGTTGTTGGCAATAAGAACCTGGAAGATGTAAATTGGGGGGAAAGGAATAAAAGGCGATGATAAGGGGAAAGAAATGAAACTATTTTTTTTTCTCAAAAAATGTCAGATTCTCAAACAAGAATTTGTATCGCTGGACTAGGCAGTAAGGATAATCAATGTGTGTGTGTGTGTGTGTGTGTGTGTGTGTGTGTAAAGATTTATTTATTTACTCATATAGAACTGGGGTACAGGCCAGAAGTACAGAGGTGGTGACAGGCTTCACCCGAGACAGAGTGGGGAACAGAACAGGCAGATCCACGAAGTACACTGCTGAGGGGAGCAGCGGGCAAGACAGGAGAGCTCTGCTGTGCCATGTGGGTCACCTCCAGGAACAGGGATTGCACTCACACTGAAGTGGCTGTGGCTCTCTTATAGTGCTGTGCTTTAACCCACTGCACCACCAGGGAGGGCCCCAAGGTGTGTTTTTAAACGTCTGCTAAAGCAAATACTTCAGCACGTGGCAGCTAAAACTAACTTTTCTTTAACTTCTTTTCTTGAAGGGAAAAAAAAATTACAATTACTGAAATCCTCTAAGTTTGTGGATTATTCTGTGGTCTCTACCACCAGGAAATAAAAGATGACAAACTTCAGAAAGATGGTGTATTCTCAAATAAGGACTAGGGGAAACTGAACAGTGTCATGGTATAAACCACTCTCTGTTGTAAGCACAGAACATGTGTAATAATCCTGGCAGCAACCACACTCTCTCCAAAATGTTCAACCAAATGTTTTACAATGATGGAAACTGCCCCTTAGAAAGAACAACTACAAGAAAAGTGAAAGAATCAATGCTCCTGAGACTTCTTTATAAATAAACTTTTCATTTCCTTCCCTGTCTTAGAATTCTGCTCCTGAGGATACATAGATTGAGAGACACGTCATCTATCTTTGTTCAGAGGCTAACAGGACAGCACTGCCAGGACACTTGCACAAATGGGAACAAAGTGCCCATCCCTCCATCTTTTAAGCACTGCAAGTTATTTCAAACAATTCATCCTCTGTTCTGACACAGTTTACATAAAAGTGACACAGAATAACTCATAACATTTCAAAACACCTATAATCTCTTTAAGTATTTCAGGTGATCTATTCCCTCTCAACATCTCAAATACCAGAAGCTAGTAAGTCACAGTGTATCAAACTCTTTAAGCCTGCTGTTCTGAAACTCCCTCTCCTCTCTTAGCTCTGAACCCAACACTATGACTTCTTATCTCTTCACCACCCTCACAAGCTCATCAATTTCTCATACCCTCTGGGATCAGTGTATCCTACCCTGGAAAACTGAAAGAAATTTTAAAAAGAAGTTTATGAGCACTGCTTCATCTTAGAAATTAGCCATGTCTAAATACATATTAGAGAAAATAGTGAAATTATTCAAGAGGATGCTAAGGAAACAAAGGATATTTTGACACAAAGAGGCAAAGTCTCTGAAAATCTAAGTATTAGTTTTGAGCAAATCTAGCACATCTGGATATTAACTCTCGTGTACATTTGAAAAAATAATTTATAATTTAACAAGTTATAACTTACCTTCTCAATCACTTTATTCCCTCCAAAACGAGTAACAAATTCTGCTGGAGAAGCTACAGTGAAATCTCTCTGTGAGTCTATTTTCTTGCGATCACGACATTGCTTTCCTAGGTGCATGCCAGACATGCTGGACCTATAAAGATAGAGAAACCATGAAAGTCTGTAGACAGATTTCTTCATATCATTCATCTCCTCTAAAGACCTGCTTTTCACTGCCATACTTATGGCAAGTGCATGCTTGTGAAGACCACATTTTAAATATAAGGAAAAAGGGGAAAAAAAGCTTTGCAGCCCTCCCTGGTAGCGCAGCACTGAGAATCTAAAGCGGCTTCTGCTATATAAGTTCAAGCCTGCCCCGCAGGTGACCACATGGCGCAGCAGACCTCTCCTGACCCGCCCGCTGCTCCTCTCAGGAGTGTACTTTGTCGATCTGCCTGTTCTGTTCCCCACTCTGTCTCTGGTGAAGCTTCTCACCGCCCCTGAGCCTCTGGCCTGTACCCATGTTCTGTATGCACAAATAAATAAATCTTTAAAAAAAAAAAAAAAAGATCTTTGCTGGTGCAAATTTAAGAGAATAGTATAAATTCCTGAATAAAAAAATAGTAAGGTTTATCAGCAGATGCCAGCACAAAGAGGGAAAGATAACATGAAACAAGACCACTTAAAGAATACTTATCTATTACAATTAAGAGACTGTCCAAAGCTTAAAAACACAGCAAAATTGTTTTTAGAACACAATTCTGGCATGCAGATGATCTTCACCTCTGAATCTCTCGCTGCTGCCTTTCTTATCAACTTTACACCCACATTTTAAATTACCTTCAAAATATTTTGACTGGTTAACCTATAGGTTTCAAAATTCAACAGCACTAAAACCAAATTCTTCACAAGCCTGCAGAATATACTGTATTTCATTAATTTTAAGAAGCCCTCCTCACCCTCTTCTTTTTACTTTTTACCATCTCTGAAATTGGTATCTTACAATTAAAGGTATGCCTTACATAATCAGCAGTATTTTGTTGTTGCTGTTGTAGTCTTAGGGATATATCCCATAATGGTGCCAAACTGGATATTTTTGTTCAGTTTTGTCAATGTCAAGGTAAGGCAGAAGGATAAGAAAAAGGACATTCCTCTTATCAGCTCTCATCAGCATTACTCCATAGTAAGAGTTAAATTCCTGCTTCTGGCATCTTTCAAAAGTCCTGGGAAGAGCCTTGAGGTAAGAAGGCTCTGGCTCCTAGGCTGTGGCTCCTAGGCAGTCACACTCACCAGTCTCTGTCTCTAGACTATGTTGCCTGCCTGTCACTCTCTTCGCTGGTCAGGCCTCCTCCTCAGGGGTCTGGGAGCTAGCTACTCAAAGCTTACTCTGGGAGGGAGTTCCGAGGGAGCTGCTTCCTATAGTTAGTATTCAACTCACATAAAAACACCCCCTTTTTGTTCTTTTATTCATCTAATAGTCAAGGGACCAGTTCTCCCTAGTCCTCTGTTTATGTAGGTTCTCATTCTCTGACTAGATCATGACTGATAGATCCTCTGGAAGAACTTGTTGAGGATTAAATGAGGTAGTGGGTATAAATAGTGTTCTTTATATATCAATATGTACCAATCATAGGATAGAACAACTAAAATCGGGTCCCCCCTAGTGGCGCAACTGGTTAAAGCACAACACTATGAAGCTATCCACAGCCACTGCAGCATAAGTTCAATCCCTCTCCAACCTGAGAGCTGACTCACATGGCATGGCAGACCTCTCCTGTTCTGCCTGCTGCTCCTCTTAGTAGTGTATTCAATGTATTTCTCCTGACTCTGTATCTGATGAATCCTCTTACCCCTCGCACTTCTGGCCTATCTCCCAGTTCTTATGTGCAGAAATAGATCTTTAAAAAAAAAAAAAACTAAAATATACACATTTTAAAAAGAAATATATAAATATAACAGAATTATGCAAGCGTGTAAACAACAAACAATGAAAATGTGATGAAGGAAAATGACCATCTGGACAGGAGGAGGCAGGGGGAAAGGGAGAAGAGAGCACATAGTTAGCTGTATAGATGAAGGCAATGACCTGCCTTTTAGGTCATAGACTTTCAAATTATTTTTACAATATTTTAAAAATAATAATCTAATAAATAGTGACTACAAATGGACTAATGAGTCTGTCATAAACCAAGGACTATGAATGTACAATTCTATCACCTGAAGTTAAATGCATGAATTCCACAGAGATCACCTTACAGTTAGTTAGGGAAGGAGAGATAGAGAGAATATAAAGGGGCTGCCTGAATATCAGACAAGTTGGGGAGCAGGCTTTGGGGGTTCATAAGATTTAATCAGTGGCCTGGAGATAACAAAGGAGTACTTGTTTGAGGGTCTCTTAAAATCAACAAGGAGAGAAAAGCAGGTCTTACTTTTAAGGATCAAAAACTTCATGTAAGCCCTCCCTTGTGGCGCAGGGGGTTAAAGAACGGCTCTGAGAATCTAAAGCCGCTTCCACATGAGTTCGATTCCCGATTCCCGCCTGCCCGGGAGGTGACCACATGGTGTGGCAGACCTCTCCTGATCCAAACGCTGCTCCCCTCAGCAGTGTACTTTGTCGATCTGCCTGTTCTGTTCCCCACTCTGTCTCTGGTGAAGCCTCTCGCCGCCCCTGAGCGAATAAATAAATCTTAAAAAAAAAAAAAAAATTTTTCATAGAAACCAAATTCAGAAGTGAGGCACTAGCTTAAAACAAGGGGAGCAAATGCAAAGAGAGACTAGGTCTCAAAATCCTCACCTCTCTCCTACCTTTCCTCAGGAAGCTATTAAAGAATATTCTTTCAAAAGGTCAGCATAAACTAAGAAAAGAAAGACAATGGAAAACTGAGGTTCCAAAACAGAAAGAAGGGAATTCATAAATGATTGTCCAAATTATGAACAGCTATATACCAAGATTTTCTCCCAAAGGTGAGAGAGTTCAAGTGAAAAGAAAAAAGAAAGAATGGGTTTTCTAAAAATGTTTTGTCAACTTGGGTTTTTTTTATTATATTAGTTTATTTTTACATATTTTTGTTCATTTTTCCATCTCAGTTACAATCCCCTTGGGTTTCCCATCACCAAATCACCCTTGTGCCACCACCGTAGTCCAATGCATTTCCCTACCCCACTGCTTTTGATCCTATTCCCTACTCCACCCTCACAAAATGTCTCTGGTATATAGCTGTTCATCATTATCATTATTTTCTCGCCTGTTCCATTATATTCCTGCTATGAGAGAAACCATATGGTATTTGTCCTTTTCTTTCTGGCTTATTTCACTAAGCATGATCTTTTCTACAACTTGGTTTTTTATCTGCTGTTTTTGCAAGGTCCAGTTTAGTATTCAGGTAATTTCCTTTTTCAAGATAAAAACTCCAGATTGAAAAAAAAAAAAAGTAAACAAGACAATAGAGCAACCCCTAAAGGCTACTATCCAGCAATCACTCAGAAGTTCAATTTTACACACATCCAAGTGTCTCCAGATGTAGTCAGTTTCCAAGAGATTCACTCTGTGCCTTTGCTATGTAAGGTGCCTGGCTCACTTTCCTCCTTACCTTGATTGTAACAGCAGGAAAAAGATCCCTCAAAACTCGAGTGAGGTTGTCTACTGTCAGACGCCAGGGCAATGGCAGCAGGCGCCTTTTCTGTCCCCAGACACATATTCTAAAAAAGCTTTCGGCAAAAACTTCCTTCAACAGAATTCTACACACTTCACAAAATTAACATCTTTCTTCCTTTACAACAGATGAACAAGACTACACTCTTCAAAAAAAAAAAAAAAAGTCAAATGCAGTGTGAACAAGTTTGGCGCAGACTGAGATCCCTTAATGAAACAATAGCTCTGCAAAATCTACACAAGGACACTAGATCTCAATGCAGCTATAATATTGCACAGAGGCTTAGGTATCTTGGCCCAAATTCTGAATGTAAAATAAAGATTAGAAATTCAGGAGCAAGTATGACTGTTTTTAGTCATTTCCTTAAAAGGACAGCTTCTTACAGATACCTGAAAAAATTATCAAATAAAATTTCTTGTAAATTCCAGGGGTTGACTTTCACCGACATTGCTGTTTTTAAAGGTCTATACTGGCCAAACATGTTGCCCTAAAACTTACCTTTGAAGCATGTAATATGTCATCTCCTTATTTTCTGCTGCAGAACTTTCCATTTCGAGATGGCAAAGAAAAGGAAATGTTCTCTTCCGACTGGGGCCTTGTAAACACAAGTTGCAGTTTGTCCCCCTGTTGCAGCTGCTTAAAAACCCAGGAGGACAAGAGGTTCTGTGCTTTCTGCCTACGTATTGGCCCTGCATCAGTGAGACTAGAGTATGCCTAATACTTTCAAACTATAGATTTTTCCTACTTTGTCCCCAGTTTCAGTATTTCAGTTTTCCTCCTGTCCCCCTACATTTCGATCTTTCATAGAATTAGCTGATTTCCTAAGGGGACTGAAAGGAGATGGAGAGAAATATAAAAACTTGTTAACTAAAAGTAGATCATCGCTTGTGTTAGCTACAAGAAGCATGTTTCATCAAGGGTCACTTTCTTCTGACAGCTTTACCTGACTGCCAGGAAGATGTGACAGAGCAAAAAGAAGAAAGTTTACAAAGGACAGCTAAGCCTAGAAAATAATGGGGTCATGAAATCCAGAGGGAGGAGGCCAGCACAGTCTAAGTAGGAAATTTCTGAAACCAAATCAAAACAAGGACTGCTTATCAGACTGCAAAGGATTGAAACAGGTAAGGCAGGAAAGAAAACAAATGTCAATAGAGAGGGTAAAACACACCACTAATAAGGAACTCTAAATCAAATGCGAAGCACAATTCTTATTTTCAGAACCAAAGTAGTGAAAGACACAGATGCACATACACACACACACCCTGCCTTTTTAAAACAACAAAATCTTAAGATTTTATTTATCTAAATGTGAGGGTAAGATGGAGCTGGTACATGCTTTGTTTACAACTGGAAAGACATGGAAACAACCCAAATGCCCAAAAGTGGATGACTGGATTAAAAAGATGTGGTACAATCTACACAATGGAATATTACTCGGCAACCAAAAAAAAAATAAACACATGCCTTTTACAGCAACATGGATGGAGCTGGAAAAGATCAT